ATTTGAGGGGGAAGGTCTTAAGTCAGCAAGCCTTGTCAGGAGGCTGCTGAAGGAACCCAGAGGAGACAGTGGTAGACAAGACTGCAGTTTTGACAATGGGAATGGAAAGAAGTGAAAGGAATTGACCAAAAAAGAGGTTAACTCAGGGTTGATTTGATGTAAAATAGAGTGAGAGGAAGAATAAAAGATTATATTTAAGTTCAACTTGGGAAACTGAGTGGTTAATGGTGCTATTCACTGCAATAATCAATTAAATAAGAACAGATTTGAGAAGTTAACATTATTTCACTTGAAGATATGCTGTTTTTGAGATGCTTGGGAGTCATCTAAAGTGAAGATGTTTAATAAGCAGTAAGTTATATAAACAACAGAATTCAGTAGATAGATTAGACCTAGAAATGTGGATTGGGAGTTGTCATCAAATAGATGGTAACTGAAACAGTGGGAACAACATGATCATCTAGGGAGCATGAGAGAAAAAGGACTCTGAGGAACAATGGTAGTTAAGGAGAGAAAGTAAAAGAAAATAAGCCTGCAAAATTGATAGAGAATTTGCCTGAGTGGTAAGACAACACTGTGCGAGTGTGCTGATTTGACAACAAAGAGCAGACTAATAGGAAAAAGTGGTCAGCAAAGTCATTTGCAGCTGTGACGATCAGGCAAGATAAGGACAGAGAATTGGTCCATTGAATTTAGTGACATGGGTGACAGTTCCAGCAGTTTAGAGGGCAAGTGACTGCAGCACTCCGTTTTCTTCCTTTTCTTATAAATCAGATCACCTGGGCTGTGAGAACTTGGGGAAAGTGAAGAATACATGGAATCCAAAGGAAGATGTCTTCTAGCCAAGTGCATGAGCTGCAGGAACATCCACTGTGATGCTTTAGAGTTATTTTTGGCTCGTTCTGGGTCCTCGGCTTTGTTACTAAGTGGTGCAGATTGCTTAGTTTTAGGGAGATGAGATACTATTTGACTAAACTACTGAAAGATGATTAGTCCAATGAAACAAGAATGTTTGAATGTGTAAGGATTTCTTTACATGCACAAGGATTAACTTTAATTATCCAGAATGTCACAGTACTAACAGTTCAATCAAGAAAATTTTTATTTATATAAATATAATATTGTCAGGATCTTAACTTTTAATTTCTTTGAAAACAGAAAAGCATTGTCAGAGTTTGAATATACAATTTCATCCCCGTTAAAAGGTAGGAGTGTGTTCTTTAGGACACTGTGTTATTTGATTATAATGAATATATCACTGTAGACAATAATATAAGGTCAGGATTTTTTTTTTTCAGATGGGAATAAGTAATTTTTCTTTATTTTGGTGGCCTTGGTTTGGATGTTGAGAGACTGTCCTTTATTTTTCTCTCTTTATTTTTTCCTTTTCTTTTCAAACTGAGTTTGAACAGCTCTTTTCCTTCAGTCCAGTATCATGAAGGATGAAAGAAAGATAAACGCACAATTCAGAGGGAACAGACACCATTATTGGCTTAGATAAGTAGTCCTAGTTCATTAATTTTCATTTTTTTCCAGTATCTTTAGGAAATTATGGCAGTCTGCCCTCACCCTCATATAATCTGTTATAGGATGGATTTCCATATCATGTGAATTTGCCTTGCACTCTTCCAAAAGATGATTAGTCCTCAGAATTAATAATTCACTGGCAAATCACAGTGAATAGAATTCACTGGTGAGGCATAAAAATATGCTGGAAACAGAGCTCCATATTTGAATCCTGGCTCCAATATGTACTTGCTGTTGTCTTAAGTTTTTTAACCTGTCTAGCTTTGGTTTCTTTTTTTATGAAATTGGGGAAATAACAGAATCTTTCCCATAGAGTTGTTATAATGAAATGGAATACAGTAGCTAATTCTTGTACTTTTCACAGACACTTATTTAAACAAAAATGTAGATTCTTTAATGTTTATTTTATTAACATGACTGCTTGGAAAACCTCATCATAGAAAGAAATATATTAGTATTTGCTCTTTTTTATATTTAGAAAATTATGACTTCACCAATGGAACAGGTTAGTCCCTTTTTCATAAAATCATTGCTAAGGCAGGTGTAAAGGTCAGATGGAATTTTTTGTTTTTCATTCATAATTATTGTTTATTTTAAACTGCAACTTTCATCCTGTTCAGGATTATCTGCTTGCAGTGTAAGCCAGGAGAATTTAACTGGAAAATATTTTGTCCAAAGCCATATTAAGCAGGTTTTCTTTTTGAATTTGAGTGCAATCTTTAAACATGCTTCAATTATAAGTCTTTAAAAATAAATTGAAACTGCTGGAGAGACAACAGAATCTTAACTTTTTATATTAAAAATATTATTTCAAAATTTTACAGATAGTGTCCATGTTTTAATTCAATGCAACTTAATAACTCTACTGAGTACCTTCTCTGTACCCGATCTAGAGGTTTTAGATACACCAATGAGTACAATATGGACTCTGAACTCAGGAACTCTTAGTCTAGAGAGATTCTTAGTCTATTAGTCTAGAAAGACAACTGGGTAAACAGAAAAATAACATGAACTGTTGGGGTTGTTTATTTCTATCTGTGTATGGAGTGCATCAGCATTTCCCACCTCCGATCAATGCTGTCTATGCTTTTGTAACCAGAAGCCCCAAAAGCAGAATTAAACATTCAACAATCTCTTCTATATCTAAGTACAGTTGGACAGGGCCCTTCATGGGAACAGTAAGTATCTTCAGGTTAATTGCTCTAAATTTTAGCACCTCTTTCTCGCAAGTTCCCTCTAAATTGCCTCAGTGATTAAGGAATGGTTGACCTTGCCAATTATGTGTGCCACACCACTCTCATTTTTCCAGTTTTGCTTTTTTCAGAACCAGATCCAGATAACAAGCAATCACTTCTTGTTAGGACAATGCAAGTAGGAAATTAGAGGCCTTTTTAAAATAAAACACATTTAAAATCAAATGTGTGTGTACATATGGTTATGAATGATGAGGTGGAGTTTATCTGCCGTGTGCCACCCCTTGAGGATATTTGCATGGTTTCCATTCTGTTTTTTGTACACACATCTCTGACTACCCCAGTAAATGTATACATCATACTGAAATATATATAACATATATAGCCCCTCTTATAATTCATATCTTTAGTACCTATATTTAGAAACTGATTTAGCCCGTACAGGCTGCTATAACAAAACACCACAGAGTGGGTAGCTTATAAATGGCAAATGTTTATTTCTCACAGTTGTGGGGGCCGGAAGTCCAGGACCATGCCCTAGCATGGGTGGGTGAAAGCTCTCTTCCTAGTTCACAGTCAGAACGCCTGCTGGGTCCTCACTTGCTGGAGGGGCCAGGGGCCTCGGAGCCTCTTCTGTAAGGCACTAGTCCCATTCATGGGGGTGCCACCCTTATGACTTAAGCATTTCCCAAAGCCCCACCTACTAATACCATTACCTTTGCTATTGGTAAAGGTATTGGCCTCTTAAAACCTGGGTTTACACCCCAAGCAAACAGCATTGCTCTTTCAGAACCAACCAGCTCATCTGGCCTCATGTTCCAGGCTTTTACTCCATCTTGAGGCTGCGTTTATGTCTTACTGCCTTTTCTACCTTCAAATACTTACTGAAATTACAGATGGGGGAAGAAAAAAATCACAAAATCTTAAAAAACTAGAGACTGTCTTTCTGTAGCATCAGAAGCTAAGATGACAGGACTGATGTGCCAAACATACGAATTTGGCGGGGGGTGTTGGGGGTACGGGGCGAGCACAAACATTCAGACCATAGCTGAAACCAGCATTTACATATCCCATATCAAAGTTTAAAACAAAAATCAAAGACTTAACAAAACAAAACAAAACCCAGAGCTGCAGTTATTTGCATGTGAGGTAAAGAGCCCATGTCACGTCCAAAAAGCGGGTCTCCCTCGGCTGGAAGCAGAAGCACTAGCCATAGAAGGAAAAGGGAATTATTCCACATTTGGAGATTATTCTAAGGCATAGTCCAGATTATTAAATCCTAGCTGGTTAAGAAGAGGATTATAAACTTTCCCATGGGACTGGTCCTTGTTCTATTTTAAGTCACAAAAGTGCCGATATGATTTCAAAGAGCTCAGAGAACACATTATGCACCAACTGAGGACTTTGAAAATTTTTTTCTTTAGCCTTCAAAAGACAAGGACACAGTGAGAAATACATCAGCAGCTCTTGCAGTTGGCAGAGCACACGAGCCGGCCGGCCTGTGAGGTGCGCGCTGTGAGAATGCCTGTTCTGCAGCTGAGGGAACGGCAGCTCGAACAGCTTGAGCAATTTCACTCATGCTACAAACATTCACTGAGAAACTACTCCTTGGACTTAAATCGTTCTCCAAATGGGCCTCAAAATGCACTTGCCAGTTTCCATTCCTTTGCTTTCCCTGAAAGCGGAAACAAAATATTGTATTGCTTCTTTGGTAAAGAGAGAATTCCTAAAAGACCAACATGCAGATGGATACAAAGTTCTTGCACATACCATTTCTGGTCTCTTAAAACCTGGGTTTACACCCCAAGCAAACAGCACCCCTCTTTCAGAACCAACCGGCTCACCTGGGCTCATGTTCCAGACTTTTACTCTATCTTGCTGCTGAGTTTATGTCTTATCGCCTTTTCTACATTCAAATACTTCCTGAAATTACAGATGGGGAAGAAAAAAAATCACAGCCTTAAAAAGCTAGAGATGGCCTTTTTGAGCATTGCAAGTTGAGATGACAGGTCCGATGTACAAAAAAACAATCCTATCTAGTACCTCTAATATAATTAGGTTTAGAGTGTTTGAATTTATCATTTTTAGAGCCATATGTATCTAAGGGGAATCTTGCTCTGCACAACTTGTATAATTTTGTCAATTCTCAGACCTCCAGTATTACAAAGGCTATGATCTTCATTTTGAAACACGAAAATGCAGTGCTCAGAAGACGAAGCACACAAAATGCTAACTGTCACGTGGTTATCTCTCTGCCTTTTCCCTGCGTGTCTGCTCCAGGTGGGAGAGTTCAGAGCCCATGCTGCTGAGTGGACAGCCAACGTCACGGCCGAATTCAAGGAAACCAGGAGGCGGTTGAGCGTGGAGATTTATGACAAGTTCCAGCGCGCCACCTCCATTAAGCGGAAGCTCTCTGCAGAACTGGCTGGGAACCACAACCAGGAGCTGACTCCATGCAGGAGGACCCTGTCAGTGAACCACCTAGCCAGCGAGAGGGATGTCTTGCCTCCCTTACTGAAAACTGAAAGTATCTATTTGAATGGATTGACGCCACACTGTGCAGGGGAGGAAATTGCTGTCATTGAGAACATTAAATAGCCCTCTCTCTTTGAAGAGCCTTAGGCATAGCCATAGGTGAGGACTTCTATATACTTTTTATGACTGTTGCTGGTAGCATTTAAAAATTTGTGCATGAGCTCCAAAGGGGGAAAAATAATAGCCACACCCATCACGGCCATCTACATCAAGAGAATTTGGAATTCTCAGCCAGCACTATCTTGATTATGCTTGTTGAATGCTCCACTTTCTTTGATGAGTGGAATCAACCAAGCAAGGTCTGATGCCTTTTTGTGCCCAGACTGTTTTCCTTCCCCTTTTCCCAATGTGCCATAAGGCCTCAGAATGAATTACAGTGGTTTCTGGTAATAATGTAGCTTCGAGGGATCAGTCCTTAACTTTTCAGGGTCTACCTAACTGAGCCTAGATATGGACCATATATGGAGGACAACATTTCTTTTTGTAAATGGCAAGAAATTCTTATGCAGCCTTTTACCTAAGAAATTTTCTGTCAGTGCCTTATCTTATGAGGATATCTTATGAAGAACCTCTCTAGCTAATGTGCAGTTTCTCCTTCCCCACCCCACCCCTAGGCTCACCTCTGCAGCCCTTTACCCCACAACTCCTATTTGAATACCATACTTTGCTGGAAACAGTGTGTAAAATGGCTGAAGTGATGACACTCAAAGAAGGAATAGATGCCAAATTAGATGGACATTGAAGCAACACTGAGAAACCCTAGCGTTAAAGACACTGCAGAGAAATGAGGTGCAAACATGGCCCCTCTGAGTATTTATTTGACTCAGGTACCAATGGTACATATTTACAGTGTAATTATTTGCCAGGCCAATAAAATTGGTGGCTCCCAAACAGTCCCTTTTGTCCTGGTAGTATTTGGAATTTACCATTTATTAATAATTAAACATGTTTTCAAGGTGGGAGAAGAAAATTCATATATATATGAATATCATATACATATATTCTATCAATGATCTGACAGAAGAAAATGTTAAAAATGGACATTAATGGAGGTAACTTCAGACAATTGGTGTGAATTACCATTCTGACGAAAAGAAGATAGAAAAACAATGTGTCACAAGCACTCGCTAAGAAACATTATACTGCCAGCACCTATTTGCTTTTTGATACATGAAAGGCTTATATGATTTTCTTCCCCTGGATGACTTTTGCCCAATGAGAGGAGGTGATACACAGTCAGAGATGGGCATTGTCCTAGCCTTCCATGGGTGTACCTTTGGAGTTATGACTGTGAGAGCAGTTGAAACTGGGATCACTGTGATTTTGCACATGGAAAAATGCAGATTGCAGATATAATTCATCTTTCATATTAGAGAAAAAGCTGTTATAGCACAATTTAAATCTTGAGGGTTTTTTTGAAGATAGAAAAGGCTGGTGATCCTTCTTAGTTTAATTTCATATCCTGTAACTCTCTGGATGTTTCCAAGATTCAGAAATTCAGTGAAGGCACCTAGTAGATTGCTACTCTTTCTTTTGTTTTCATACATAGATCTGCTGTACATTGTATATACAATTTTTAAAATGCAGAAAGAAAATGATTTCCCTAAATATAATTGTAAAACATTTCTTTTACTGTTGGGTTGGGTGGGTAGGTGTGGTATCTGAATAAATGACATTCAGATTAGGGTCTTAAAAAATAAACCCAGGATCTTAAGGAAAAAAAAATAAAAAATAGATGCTTATTTTCCAAAGTTTAAATTTAAGCTAGAAATTTAAATATTCAGCTAACTTGTTGAAGGTACTTTTATAAACAAAAAATTCTAACCAAAATTTTAGGAAGTCAGGCTCTTTTAGAAAGAAAGCTACACCCATTTTCCTCAACTGTTCTGAAAGGTCGTATGGTGGAATGCACCATGTATAAACTGTGAATTGTATTGATAAATAAAATTTATAATTAAAGTCAGCATTTTCTGAGTCTCCTGCTTGCTGCTGAGAATTTAGATCTGATTCTGGCTAAGTAGAACTCCAGAGGTCACTTTTCATGGTGAGTTTTTGTGGCTCCTTTATTCACAATATTCAAGAAATATTTTTGAGGCAGCATACCTACCATTGTTAAATACAGGCAGAATGTTCTTCTTGGTGAATGTAACAAAAGTAAATATCCTGAATATTTGAAATATGATGTTTTAAAAAGTGTATAAACTCAAGATTGTTCTTACCAAGTTGTGATATATCAATATCTTTATTTTATCATTGTTAGACCTTGCCTTGACACTATGTAATATGCCAAACACAGGCACCTGTCTGTAAGAAAAAAACAGTCAAACATTCTGGCAGTGTTGGAGACTAAAAAAGGTAGTTGTCAGCAATTGTCTAGACCTCACACCCCAAATATTTGGACTGCATACCTTGTCAGAATCTTACATAAACTTATTTATTCATTTTCCAGCTCCTAAATATTCAATAAATATCCTAAAACTGGTCAACAATGTTATCCTTAGGACTAGGGAAAATCTAAGAAGGCATGCATATTATATCAATTTTGTTTTCTCTAGCTTTATTTTATTTCTTGTGGACAGACACGGATAAAGATTTTGACAAAGTCTAGAATTTTCTCCTGCATTTGTTTTTTCACTGGACCAGTTTAGAAGTGAGTAGCTTTGCCTCGCTTGTACTAGATTACTGGAACCAGCAAGGATTAGGAACTCTGATCTGAAATCTTCGACATGGATTCTACACAAGGCTTTCTATCCACCTTGTAGCTATTAAATATAAAAGTAATTATTTTGGAGTTCTTTCAATTTCCTACATAAATCTATATACCTTGCTACATAGTTCATGTCACATACCCCTTTGCCAGCAATATTCATTCTTGCAATACAGGAAAAAGTGAAACTTCTAAACCAAGAGGAATTTCATAATTTGCGTCTTGGTCTTCAAAGAAATGGGAGCGTTGTACAGGGCTTTGTTTCTTTCTCAACTTCTAAGTGACATTTGACATATAAGCAAGACCAAACTGCAACTCACTTTGAAAACTAGTCTGTAGCATTCTTTGATTTTTAAGGCTGTTAAGTTCCAACAGACTAAGGGAGATTCTAGAATACCAAAAAACAAAAACAAATTTAGACATTCTGAAAACTTGAGTAGCTATTCACACCTAAGAACTGGAGGCCTCGATCACCTTTTAATTCTGTTTTCCTTTAAAAAAAAATGTTTGCTGTTCTAGTAAAATCATAATTTATTTGTGGTTTGCATTCCTTCTTAAAATGTGAGTATAAATTTGCTTTTGTATAAAGTAGAAGATGTCTCTATTTGATTATTCATAACTCCATTAAAATTAATATGTGACTTTTGCTTCAGCATGAGTTTACTTAAATGCCCCTTTATAGTAAAACTCACCGACTTGCACAAGCCCATGTGTCAGTTCTGAGGTGGTGTGGAGTAACCTGATAGGGACTTCTGAGAGTAACTTAGTGTGGTTGTCTTAATAAGGGGAAAACTTCAGCTCTCTGTGCTTCCTTCATCCCACCCCGTCTCAAAGGTTTATCCAGCTTCGGCTTCCCCACCCAGATCTCAACTATCCATTCCTAAAAGATAGGGATTAGGTCCAATGACTAGTTTTGACTCTGCTTTTCTGTTTGACTTCACACTATTTATTCACTTAACCCCAATTTTTACCATTTCTAATAGTCATAAAAACCATTTGTTATTCTCCTAGTATTAGAATTCTATAATATTTCTATTGTTATGCTTGTCTCAGTTTACAGGTATTTTTTCTTTCATCTGTCATTCTTTTCCAAAATATTTTTATACATTTGCCAAAAACTCCCTGCCTAGTCTTCACTGTCTTTTGTACTCAGCGTTGATTTCTCTCTGAGCTCCAGATCCAGCTAATTATTTCCCTTTGGATATCTCTCAGAAGTTTTCCCCACATCTGGCCCTCTTTGGGTGTCACCTATCTTAATAGGACCACCATCCTTTTGGTTGTGATTACCCTTGATGGCTTCTTCTCTCCTTCCACTTCATTCCCTCATATTGCCAAGCCAGCTAACTTGCATCCTTAATATGTCTTCAGTTCGTACACAGCCATTACCTTAATTCAAACCACCACCATATATCTTCAGATCTGCTAACTGCTTTTGCATCATTCTCTGCACCTGTCATTGAAGGTAGAGTGGTCTTTAATATGCAAATCTGACCATGTTACTCTCCAATTGAAACCCACTAATAGTGTTTCATTTTTTTAGAAGAACAGAATTCTTCAAAGGGCCTACAAAGCCTTCTTTTGGTCTACCTTATGCCATCATCTCCAGACTCATCTTTATAACCTTCTACCTCTCTGTATACCACCACCACTGGATTTTTCTCTTTTATCACAAGGTATGCTGACGTTGTTCCCTTTGCCTGGAATGCTTGCTTTCCTTTTGCACTTCAACCTTTTTCACCTAACAAACTCCTACCCATCCTTCAGGACCCAACACAAGTATCACTTCCTCCAATAAGCTCTCCCTGACACCCGTGTAGACACCTTTATAATATACTCTATAAAATCCTATTCCTTTCCCTCAGTTTATAGATACATTCATCACTCTTATTTGATTATCATCTGTCTTTTCCACTAAATTCATTTTAGCTTATTATTTCATTTAAATACTAGCAAAGTACATATAGTACATGCTCCAAAAATACATGATAAACAAATAATGAAGATGAAAACAGGATTTAATTGTTGTAATCATCCAAAGTATCCTTGGGTATAAGTATCCCAAATTTTCTCAGCTCCACAAACATTTACCTGCCATCTTCTAATGCTTAGTAGCAAATGGGATATAGACAGCAGTTATTTCTCCTATTAACTGACAAGCTGGCACTAGTTATTATAGAGTAAAAAAAAAATCAAAGTCTTCAACTAGACTTTCAGCTTGTCATTATACACTCTTACTCCTTATAAGCAAGGGTTTCATTATTTTCATTTAAAAATTTTGGCTCACAATAGATAGTACCAAAGCTTTTCAATTATAATTTAATCTTGAAAATTTGTTTAGAAGTTAATTGTGAAACATATTTAATAATACTAGTAAATGGATGCCTTTTATTAGTAGAAAGCTAATACACATATTTATTATCCTTGCCAAATAAAATACAGCTTTTTCATACTTAAACAAATTTTATAAGCAGTCTGGGAAGAAATCCATTATTTGGCATATTTTAAACTGTTTACAGTACAGCATATTTGTCACTTAGATAGTATAATTTTGAAATTAACTCATAGGATAAACATTGGGTTTCCTTCAGTTGATGCAACTTTGTAGGTGGTATCCCTTCTTCATTATACAATTAATACAGAGTAGTCTGTAGACAATTTTTATCATTACTTTACTTAAAAAACATTTTAGACTTTTTAGTATTATTGACACTAGATTGTATGTTTCATGACTTTTATTAAAAATGTTGAATTGTATGTGCAAACAAAATATTACCCTGCTCATGGTTTACCAAGTAAAGCATCAGTAACTGGCAATATCTGGTCCAGATTCAAATATTTACATCAACCAGGTATCACGGAGTTGGAAGGATATAGCATCAAGATACTGCCAAGACATCTAACTAGCCCATATTATTTCTTAGTCAGGTGCAACAATTCAGAATTTACACATGCACTGAGCCAGTTTACTCTAACATTATCAAGGTCTAGATCTAGACAAGTAGATTAGCCAAGTGTATGAACCTCTTCAACAGTTACATTGTACGTGCAAACAAAATATTACCCTACTCATGGTTTTCCAACATTTTCCAACAGCCTTGCCTGGCTAATTGCTGGAAATACTAAAGCCAAATAAATGTCTGCTGTCTGAGAAATGGCAGGCCAGGGAAAGCCAGTGACATGCAGCCCCAATGGAGGGAATCCTCTCAGGGGAACTGAGCCCTGAACAAAAGGCTCTTGCATTTTATTGATCTGGGAGGCTGAGGCAGAAGAAAAGGGAGAGGGTCAGCAGTGGGAAGTTACTGAGTCAGGGGGGAGAAAAGTGCCCCAACACAGGCCTCCATGAGGAAGCCTCCAGACGGTGGCACCTATGTCTGAGTCCTTGACTGCAACTCCCTCCAGAAAATTACAGGTCTGGCTGTGGGAAGGGCAGCTTCTTCCCCCAGGATGCCTGCCAGGCTAAACCTTGAAATTGCCAATGGTTGGACCTGAAAGATCACACAGTGGATTCTGGCTTGGAACTTTCATGCCTATCTGAGAATTTTAGATTGGCACTACGAAGTCCAAGCTTTAAAGTGCTTTGAATAGATCCTTACTTTTAGGATGATTGCCCTGACAGTGATGGGGAGTAGATGCTGAATGATGGGATATTAGAGCAGCCACCCTGTCATGGTCCCTGGAGGAGGGATTTGGGTCTGAGCCATACAAGGGGCAGTGGGTGGATGGGGTGCCTTTAGGTAGAATTAGGAACATGAGACCAAGGAGAAGTTTTGAGGAGGAGACAGGTATTTTGAATTAAAAGTGCCTATAGGGTCACCAAACTGAGAACACTCAATGTGCTGTTAGAATATTCATTCGAGCTCAAATCAGGGCTCCCAGGAAGAGATATGAATGTGGGAATCACTGACATTAGAAGTGCTTCACATTAATAATGAGAAGTTAAAGTCACCACAGTATCTATTGCTTAATAAAATGTCCCTTCTTAATGTTAACCCAGTTTTGAATGATACACAATTAGATGCATTTCATTTTAAGTCAAGAATCCCTCATATGAATTAAACAAGAGGGTTCTAGAACATTTGTATATTCATGTTGATTATTAATAATTAATAATAATTATCTCCACTCCAAATATTAATCAAACATTACTTGTGAGCTGGTACTATAGTAATAACTTGGACATTTTCCTCCTTCCTTTTTCTTCAGCAAAGCATACATATTTGTACTTCATTTTAGCCCTACCTATATTACTTTATCTGATTCTGTTAATTTCAGGACATCCTCTCTTCTTGGAAAGGAGAGCTATAACTAATTAAATTAGAAAAACACAAGTGAAAACATATGTGTCAATTCTAGTGGACAGCTGGTGTCTGAACTGGATCCCCAATTTCCTGGGCCAATGGCCCCATCCCCAGTGCTCTGAATGTTGGATGCCAATGGTTCACAGGTGCCCCCTTTTCTGGAGAGCAAACTTCTGCAGATCAGAAGCCACCCTACTGGGAAGTTACCCAGTCCCTGCCCCACCACAGTGTGGGCAGCCCACGGCCAGTAACTGACATGGGAATAACGAAAGGCAGACATCCTACCTTTGGTGCTGAGATCAAGCAGGGAAATGGGACAAGAGTCATGCCATTGTAAAATTTACTTGGCCCACAAAAAAGATCCAGCTCATACCTTAAATTAATCCATATGCTGTTCTTCCCCTTCTTCCACCCCTTTAATCAATTAAGTAACTTTGTAACCAGGCAGGAGATGGACTTCTGAAGCATAAATGAAGCTATGTGGATAAAGAATGCAGAGGGGCAGATCAACAGTCACCTAAATAACCTTAAGACAAAACTTCAAAGGAATTATGAATCACTTGGATACATCATGCCTTATGCTGATCCCTACAAAAAAAGTCCTATGAAACCCCAAACCCTATACCCTTAAACGTGCCTCTTCTCTGAGGTTGCCTGCACTCCAGTCTGAGTGTGTATTGTCTTTCATTAAATAAACCTCCCTGTTGCATAAGCCAATTGCACTTGTCTCTGTACTCTTCTCCATGATAAAGACAAGAACTCTCCAGCCTTAGTCACTTTGCTGTTTCATTCAGCCTTCTAGTCTTAGCACGATCCTTTTCCCTCTCCCTGTTCTATTTCAGACCACTAGGGAAGTAGAAGTTCTCAGAACATAAACTTACTCCATCCAGTGCTCCACAGCTCCCCCCAAATCCTGGGGTGGTTGGAGCTTAGCTTATCCACGCCACACAGATTCAAGCAGACACTGGACGGCAGGTGACCCTCGCTTTAGGAGTTGGCAAAGGATTTGCTCTATGCTAAGCAGGAGTTCAATGAACTTCCCTTTTCTTCTTTGTCTTCTTCCTTGCTCTCTACTGCCTGCACAGCTCTGACATTCGCTTCCACTCTTGCTCTAATGAATTCCTTCCTTATCTACACTCATCTGACCTGGTTGAGAATTCTTTCATGATCAAAGTCAAGAATTCTTTCCTGTCTGGGATCAGGTTTTGCCTAGTGCGCTGGGAGAGATCTCCTGAGACTCACCCGCCTGACAACAGGGGCACCAACTCTGCTGCCGCTTACACTCCAGAGCTCCCAGTGGGAACCGGCTGAGGCTAGACTCCAGCGGA